TGATGGGACAGGTGACAGGTAGAGGGAAAGAGACTACCAATGCCTCCTCTGTGAAAGACCTGTGAAGACAGCCTGGGCATCAGATGGAAGGCAGGTACTTCTCAAGCCACCTGAGAGGCAAACCTAATACCCCCAGTGCTGCTGGAGCACGCGAAATACTGGGCAAGGCAGCCAAACCCTGGTTTCCCTGTAAGAATACTATCTTCCAAGGCAGAAAACCCTGGCTATAAAGAAAGTGGCTGAATCTAACAGACTTTGCATTTTAGAGCAAAGGAGTTTAACATGGCCATAAACACACAAGCAACACCTTGCACTCAAATGGTCTGCCAGGGACATGCTAAAATTACAAGGAACATGTGCTAGTTATCCAGCCACTGCAAGAAACCAGCAAAACAAAAAACACCTTTGATGTCATTCTTGAACCCCATCCCACAGCCAGACATTAACACATGCAGAGGTGGGAAGGGGGCGTACTGCCTCCCCACACCTTGCCACACTGGATCATGTTCTAATTCCTGCAGTTGCTATTTTTCCTTCACATTAAGTGTATCTTCTTGTCTGCACTAAAGGCCCAGAAGACTCAACATAAGGAAAAACATTACTTCAGTTCTCTCCAACTACAAATATATGACTTATTGTTTAGTACTTTTTTATACAATCAACACTGAAAACATCTTCCCTCTTAACCAGCATTTTCTGTGAACAAAAGGCTTACAATAGTATGTTGTATTCCAATTAAAATAAAGGCATAAAGATTGGAAAGAAGGAAAAGTATCTTTAAATAAAGTAAAGTTTGTCAACTGTACAAATTCTAAAGAGTCTACTAAAAATAAACTGAATGCACTAAAACCAATGATGCTATATTTAAAGTAGTTAGCTGCTGGACAACATGGAGCATGCCTGTAATCCCAGCAGCTCAGGAGGCCAAGGCAAGAGGACTGCGAATTCAAAGCCAGCTTCAGCAACTTAGTGACACCCAGTTACAAAATAAAATATAAAAAGGGCTGGGGGTGGAGGATGCTGGGGTTGTGGCTCAGTGGAAGAGTGCTTGCCTACAAGTGTGAAGGCACTGGGTTAGATTCTCAACACCACATTAAAAATAAATAAATAAAATAAAGGTAGTGTGTCCATCTACAACTAAAAATAATTTTCAGAAGTAGTCATTAAAAGAAAAATAAAATTCAAAATATAGGGCTGGGAATGTGGCTTAGTGGTTGAGTGTCCCTGAGTTCAATCCCCAGTACCAAAAAGTAAAAGTAACTGGCTGCATCTTGTTTTCTTCACATGTCCCACACTGCTGAAGCTGCACATTTTTCTGGCACTCAACAAGTGCTTATGAAATAAAAGAAGTATTTCTTCTATCAATGATTCTAATTTTTAACTGAAATCAACCTACATTATTTTATTTCATCATTCACTGTATTGAGACTCAAGTTCAGTAAGAACCTTAAAATCACTACAAGTTTTCTCCCATATTTTAAGAAATGAAGCACTTTGACAGTTTCCCCTATAAAGCTAAAACTTGGTCCTATAGAAATCACCCCCAGATAGAAACCAAGATACTGAACTCATCACTAATTTACAGAAGGGATTAAAATCAGGAAAATATCTTACCAATGGTACTACAGAAAATAAGTGTAGAGGTGCTGCCATAGACAAAGATTAGTGAGCTAAACCGCAGGGGGTAGGTGAGTCTCAACTCTCAATGACTATACTCATCTACAAAATGAGGGTAACGCAAGGACCAATCTCAAAAGGTCACTCTGTAATAATAAATAAATAAATCACTTGAGAAACAGGTTTATGGTGGCTGTCTGACACATCATAAATGCTCAAGTGTTTTCTGTATTCCCATGATCAGAAAACTGTGATACTCACCTCAATTAAAGATGCAAGTAAAACATTAAAAAGTCATCTTAATTTATCAGAGCTGGAAATTCTACACTCAACTATTTTGTATATAGCCACTAAAAGCAAGAAAACTTCCAAAATGTATCAGAACTCAGGAATTCCAATGATTAATTAATATGCTGATACAAGCCAAACAGTTAAAAAAAAAAAAAAAAAAAAAGCTTCCTGAACTTGCCAAAGTAGTTATATCTATGCAGTATTCAGCATCCCATTTCTAGAGCCCCAAAGTGGAAGACATATTTGTACCATCTTCTCTAGATTTCAATTTCCCGGGCCAGGGCACACAACTGTAATTCTAGTGACTCTCGAGGCTAGGGCAGGAGGATCTTAGGTTGAAAACCAGCCTGGACAATTAGCGAGTCCCTAAGCAACTTAGTGACACCCTGTCTCAAAAAATACAAAGGAGGGGCTGGGGTTGTGGCTCAGCGGTACAGCGCCAGTGCGAGACCCTGGGTTCGTTCCTCAGCACCACATAAAAAGTAAATAAGTGAAATAAAGGTGTTGTGTCCAACTACAACTAAAAAATAAATATTTTTTTAAAAAACACAAAAGACTGGGGAATGTGGCTCAGTGGTAATCCGTCCCTGGGTTCAATCCCCAGTACCAACACACACACACACACACACACACACACACACACACACACAAGATCCTAATTTCCTAGGCCCATTCCACACCCCTCGATAGCCACCTCATACTGTCTGGGCGTCTGTTCTGGAAACAGGCCGGGTGTGCGGGGTGTGCCCCTGACTCACTCCAGCCTCTTCCCAGGAGGCAACCCCATGAGAGCCAGGAGCAGCGTTGCCACCCAAGGGGCGCGGCGCTCAACGCTGGTTCACCTCCTCTGGCCGCCAGGAGCCGCCCACGACACTAAGCCCGGGTCCAAGGCTACCTGGGTATCCCCGACGCCCTGCGCAGGGACGGAGGCGGGCACAGCCAACAAGGGCAGGGGGTGAATGATGCTGCGGAAGCAGCCCGGAGTGAGGGAAACCCAATTGAGAGGCGGGGGACGCCAGTCCCAGCGGAGGTCCGGAGGGCCGCTGGGGAGAAGCCGAAGATGCACACTGCGACCGTCGCGAGCAAGGAAGTCAGGGGCCCGCGGGTACTGCGGAGCCGCGGGGCTGTAGGGCAGAGGCTGAGGGGGCGGAGGAGGCGGAGGGCCCCGAGCTGCCGAGAAGCGGGCCCCGGGAGGGGCGGGATGCGGGGCGGCCCGGGCCCGAGTACCTTGGCCGGCGGAGTCCATGTTCATGCGCCAGCCGGGCCGCACCTGGCGTCCGGGCTTGGGTCACCAGCGCTACTGGTACCTAGGGGCGGCACCGGGAGTCGCCCACCAAGCACTCGAGAGCCAGCGGAACGATCCGCCCGCCGCGGCAGCACGTAATCATCGACGCGCCGACCCACTTCCGCTTATGCGCGTATTGCGCCTTCGTCCCGGCCCTACAGGCGGCGTCCAATGAGAGCAGTCTTTGGTCCCGTCTCCCTTTACCCGTGTGGCCCTGATAGGCCAAAGCTGCAGGCAAAGCCGGAAGTGGAGGCTGGAGGCGTCCCTCCCAGGTTGACTCCACCAGCGAGACGCACAGGTAGAACGGCTGTCAGAGCAGGAGCCCGGGAGAGGTGGGAAGCGGGAGGACCGTGTCTAACTTGGCGTACGACGCGAGGCGCTGAACCAGCGGAACCATTGGGGCGTGTGTGCAGCTGCCCCCAGGGGCCTTGCCCGCGCACTTGGGCGGGTCAGACCCATGAGATCCTACCAAGGCCCAACCCTTGACTTGGGGGGGAGTCGGCCTCTCCACCCAACCCCCGCAAGTCTTTTTTGTCCTAGTTTTCTTTTTTCAGATTGTCCTCTGTGAGCACAATTGTTTAGGGTTGCGCAGAAAAAGACCATGATTCGTACTGTGCCCTGTAGGCGCCGCTGCCCGCCCCGTGGTTCAATTCCTAGACCCCTGCCTGATCTAGCGCGTCTGCGCCAGCAGAGTTCACACAGACGTGGACACTGCGGGGACCTCCTCGCTCGCGCCTGCGGGCTAACCCTGTGTGTGCACCCCACAGTTTTCTCACTTTTCACAACAACCTGTGAACCAGTACTAGCACCCTCGCGGCTTTACAAATGAAGAGACCGAAGCCAAGGTAACTTGCCCAAGGTCATTCAGCTAGCTGAGGGGCTACCAGGATTCCAGAGATTTTGGAATAAGATCCTGCCTGACTTCAAAGGAGAGAGGCTTGACCATCAGGCACCAGCTGCTAAAACAAGTCCCACCATGTTCTTTCTTTGGCCCTTGCTCACTCTTGGAAGTAAATGCTATTCACACCCTGTCAGATCTATGATTGCCCTAGACTGACTGTACTCCCCACTTCCAGCTAGGCCACTACAGGTACTGGTACACACACACACACACACACACACACACACACACACCAGACCTGGAAGCCTACTTTCATCTGGCTGTTCCTACTTTGACCTGGCTCCCCTCCTCCCACAGGTGTTTTTCTAGTACTCATAACATCCAGGGTACTTACCATATGATAATATCTTGTTGAGGGGTGCCCAATAATACATCATCCCACTTGCCACCTTATTCAATCCAACCTGGCCAGCCTCTGTCCACAAGAGGCTGGGGATGACAGGGACAGCCAACACTCCCTGCTTGAGGAAGCCACTACATTAGACGTAGTAGTGAGCAGAAGCCTTCTCACATTCTGTGTTGCATCCCTGAGCCATGAACAAAGTCCAAGCCTGGCCCGAGAGTAGGCCCAGCAATGAGTAGTCAGTGCAGCTATCTCTAGGCCCTGTGCCATCCTGTGCCAAATTACTCCAAGTCTGCAGTCTCCAAGAGCTGTCTCCCACAGAATGTGGAGGTGGGAAGGCAGCCCTGCAAAGCAACTAAAAATGTCTACCTGCTGAGACATTGTCGCCCTGCAATGCCAATGTCCTTTCACAGCTAGGGACAACTTGTACACTTAATCACTGAGTGGACATCCTCTTCTCAGGAACCATCCCCAAAACCAAGGCCAGGTTAAGGGTGCCTCTCTGTGGCCCCAGAGCCTGTTCCTGACAGTCTTTTGCAATGACAGGCACCCATTACACAGCATTGCCATAAATTGGGTCAGGTTCACCATTGCATTCCTTTTGGGAACTGGGACATGTGTCCAAAATTGTTTGTGGAAGAGAGAGGAAAGGGAGGTATAGAAAAACAGAGGGAAGGTCTGAACACCCCAGGGAATGGTAAGCATGATCCACACATACTACCCAACCTCCCCAGACTCCAGGTCAGGACTCCCTGCAGGACCACCTTCTCTGGTTGGGAGTGTAGAAGGGGAACGGTCCTAAGGCCTGGAAGGTGTACAGGTACCCAAATGCATCAGCCTTGGGGGCCATGCGCTACAGTTCCCAGGGCAACTGGAAGTCCTTGGGATCCAGTGGGCTGCAGTGAGTCGCCTCCACATTCTTGAGGTGCTTGCGTGCCAGAAATAGTGCCAGCTGCCGGCGCCGCCGTGGGCTGAGACCTTGGCCCACAAGCCAGGGGAAAGTAGGCCCATGTGGCCCCCAGTCCTGGTCCTCCAGCTCCTCCTGGCAGCAATCACGGTAAGAACGCAGTGTTGCCAGGCACCACTCATCATCTACACGGTAGCGAGCATAGAAAGCCGCCTCCTGTGCCAGGCTGCTGGCTCGAAGCCAGCGGGTCACAACAGCCTGGCCCTCACGTTCCATCACAGCTGGGTATCGGTGCTGCAGCAGGCGCAAAAGCAGCTCATTACCACGGTTGCCCCCCACGTCGCTGGGTGGCAGGGTGGGCAGGTGGCTTGAGGTGCTGACCACATCATCCTGCGTTCGTCGGAGCAGCAGCACTGGGCCAGGGTAGCAGCACAGCTGCTCTGCAACATTGAGGTTGAAGTGCTCCCGCACTGTTCGTACCACCAGTCCCTTCCAGCTGTGGGGCATGACTTTCAGGGCAAGTGGCACAAGATCATCAAAGGTGGCATCCAACACCAGTGCACCCAGCTCTGGGTAAGTCATGGTGGCCCAGGTAGCTGTAAAGCCACCGATAGACCAGCCATAGACCACCACGTGTTTGGGCGGGAAGTGCAAGCGGTGCAGTGCGTACTTCACCACCACATCCATGGCGTTGGCATCGTGCTGCGGGAAGGGTGCCCCTGTGCTGCCGCCAAAGCCAGGGTGGTTCCACCCCAACACAGAGTAGCCGGCCTCAAGTGGCGCTGACAGGCAGCCCATCTCATAAAAGCCCGCGTTGCCTTCGCAGCAGATGACCAGGCGCAGGCCATGGCCCTGGCTACCAGGTTGCTGGCGGCGATCCATGAACATGGTGTCTATCTCATTGCCATCGCAGGCAACCAGCTTGGCGCGCCGGCCATGGTAGCGCTCCACGAGGCGCTCTTGGCCCTGCTGTAGTAGCGGCAGCAGTGCGCGTGTCATCAGGAACATGGAGCCTGGATACACGAGCCAGCGGCCTAGTGAGTGAGCCAGCGCGTAACTGGCGAGCTGCCCTGGCAGCTCCCGGATCTGCTGTAGGAGGCACTGTGTCTGGCTTCGAGCCCCATGCGGAGGGCGCCCCTGCACATCCCCGCCCAGTGCCGCGTCGCGCAGTAGCCAAACACCCGCTGCTGCTGCAGCACACGTCAGTGCGCGGTGACCACTGCCTGCGCCGTGCACGTCATCCCAGCGAAAGTCCACTGGCCAGTTGCGGAAGTTGTAGGTGTAGTTCGCAGTCAGATAGATCTTGAACACGTGTACCAGCGCCTTCACGAAGCAGATGACACACATTGGTGCCAAGGCTCTGTGCTATCCGAGGCCCAGTCACTGGGCTAAGTATCAGAGGGGGGCCCAGGCCCGGCCCAGCGGGCGGCTGCGGGGGCGAGCGCCTAGCGGGGCAGCCTTGGACATACCTCCTCTGGATAGACCCTAATGGCCTTTGTGACCTAGACCTTCCAGGACCATGGGGAGGCTGCATCCACCCGGCACAGACCAGCTTTGTGAGTCACTGTTGCTGAGGGAAGAGGTGATACTAGAGTGACGGGCACACAAAGGTTCCGATGTGTGAACCTCAAGTTTTGCCCCGCCCTGAGGCTGACACCTCGAGATCTCGCAGCCACGCCCTCGGCAGGTCCTGCCCCAGCACCTCCCTCTTTCTTAACCGAAGATGACCACAAATGGACACCTCCAAGGTTATTGGGGATAACCCACCCCCTGGGGTCCCCTGGTGTATACCTCCCCTCAAGGACCAGGTCAAACAGGGCTGCTGCTGGAGCAAGGAGGCAGAATTTACTCCTGGCCTGCAGCTCCTGCCGCTGTTCCCGTTCCTTGTCAGGAAAGAGAGTGTGGGCAGGCTGGAAACTCCCCTCCCCCACCTCCTCTGGATCCTCTTTTTACTGGCATCAGCAGCAGCAAAGACCTTCCCCAGGTGGGTCCTGCCAGGCTGGGTTCCTCTTTTCCAGTCCCTGGTTGAGCCGCCCCTTCCCTTCAGACCACTCCACAAGCTGTACCTTCCTCTTTTCTTGAGGGCTCTGGTGGTTCTCAAGACTTTTTCTCATACACTGGAGAGGGCCAACCCACTTGAGGGTCAAGGGGCAGATGTAGAGGCCACCAGTTGGGCACCATTCAGGAGACTCATTTAATAATTTCCAAGATCAGAAACAAAAATGCAGAACCAGGAAAACCCAAACAGACTTCAGAGCCTGAGAATCAGGCTAGCCTGAGACACCAGGCTTTGGGGAAGAGAGATTCAGGGGCTCAAGAGCCCCCTCTGACTCCCCTGCTCTAGGTTGGGTTGGAAAACCACCTGGTCTAAATAGCCCCCTCTGGCTTTGGGATCAGCTAAGGGATGCTGCTGTCTGTAGGAGCTGCAGATGGGACAAGGATTAGTTGATCCCCCCACACACACACACACACTCGGGGTTTCCAATAAGTACAGAATATATAGTTAAAGTTGAATTTCAGATAAGCAGCAAATACTTTATGAGTATGTTCCAAGTATTGCAATCCCTGACCTCACAGTGGACATAGAAGTGTACCCATTAAACTATTGTTTTCACTCTTGGTACATGAGATTTCAAGACTTCACTATGAAATAGCTTTGTAGTCAGTCAAGTGGTGTGTCCTGGAATCCCAGGGACTCAGGAGGCTTAGGCAGGAGGACACAAGTTCTAGGCCAGTCAGCAGCTTAGCAAGAACTTGTCTCAAAGTAAAAAGGACTGGGGATGTAGCTCAGTGGTAGAGCACACTGGGTTCAAACCCCAGTACTGCAAAGTAAAATAAAATAGATTTCCTGTTAGATGGTTTGTCCAGCTGTTGTTTAATATAAGTGTTCTGAGCACATCTAAGATAGGCTAGACTAAGCTATGACCTGCAGGTTAGGTGTATTATATACTTTTTTTTCCTTTTTCAGTACTAGGAATTGAACCTAGGGGTGCTCTACCACTGAGCCACATCCCCAGCCTTTTTTATTTTATTTTGAGGCAGCTTCTCCAGTTGTTGGAATTATAGATGTGTGTCATCACACCTGGCTTTAAATGAACTTTTTGCTTACAATATTTGCAACTTATGATAGGTTAAACAGGATATAACCCCATAATAAGTCAAAGAGCATCTGTATTTAAAAATTGTTTGTTTGAAATTCAAGTACAAGCCAGGCCTGGTGGCACATGCCTATGATCCCAGTAGCTGGGTATAAGGATGGTGTTAGGCCTTAGCCTAAGCAATGCAATTATAAAAACTTCACTTTGAAACCTGCAGTCTCACTAGGCATGCCTACGGAGCCCTCCAATATGATCATCAGGCTTAGCCTGACATAAAGAAGTCACTTCTCCCCATCCTGACAAACTCAGAGTGAAGTCTCTGGCATGTTGTCCTCTCCCCAATAAGGGAGAGAGACAAGAAAATCAGAGTGGGGACCAAAGGCAAATAATATCACTGATAAATCTGTGGCAGCTGATAGGGATTGAAAGGGTGGTCAGAAGCCCCCAAATTTAGTATAAATGATAGAGCAAATGAACAGACATTCAGCCAGCTGACACTGATGCCCCCATGCTGGAGAGCCTGATGAGGACCTAGACTGACATCCCAATTCTTATCATCTGCTGATCCTCTGCACCTTCCTCACTGCTCTCAAACTCTGTGGCCACACCTTGACCCTGGTGAGAGCCACGACTTCTCTCTATGACCCTCTCCTCAGCCGGCTGTCAGCCCCACCCCAGGAGAAGCCTGCCTTGGCTCCTGACCTGATCACCGTGGTCTGAGTGAGTGTGCATCTGCTGGACTCAGAGCCTAAGGCTGGAGACTTCTGATCTGACACTTGAGCTTAGCATGCAGAGGGAATGTCTGTCCTTAGCCTGTCATGATTAAGTGTGTTTTCAGTGCTTAGAATTAATTTAGAATTGTTTGCTGTGAATTGATTATGTCTATTGCAGTGCTCAGCATTAAGGATTGTCATTTTCTTAATTAAGAACCTATAGAGTGAGGGGCTGGGGTTGTGGCTCAGTGGTAGAGTGCTCACCTAGCATGCACGAGGCACTGGGTTCGATCCTCAGCACCACATAAATGTAAAACAAAGATATTGTGTCCCCCTAAAACAAAAAAAATATATTTTTTTTAAAAAGAACCTATAGAGTGAAATTGTATTGAGTGATTTGAGTGAGTAAAGCAATGAAAAGAGCAGAAGTGCTTGGACATTCTTTATTTTTCCCCCTCTACTGCATAAGTTGCACCTTTTGCCCATTGCAACCTGGAGAAGCTAAGGCAGGAGGATTACTAGTTCAAAGCCAGGCTCATCAACTTAGTGAGGCCCTGAGAAACTTAGTGAGACCCTGTCTCTAAATAAAAAATAAAAAAGGCTGAGGATGTGGCTCAGTGGTTAAATATCCCTGAGTTCAATCCCCAGTACAAAAAAAAAAAAAAAGTATAAGAGGGTGTTCTGCTTTTTTTTTTTTTTTGGGGGGGGGTGATATTTATTTTTTTGAGACAGGGTTAGTCTCACAAAGTTGCTTATGGCATTCCTAAGTTGCTGAGGCTGGCTTTGAACTTTCAATCCTCCTTCCTTGGCCTCCCAAGTCACTGGGGTTACAGGCGTGTGCCACAAGTGCAGATACTACATTTGGTTCTGATTCCTGGGAAAAGATAACCCTGGAGAGGCTTTGTCCTCCTGGGGGCACTCTCCCTGCTTCATCTGCTCTGAGAATTCTTTGGAAATGGAGGCTTTTTTTCCCAGCCAGGCCCACCTGCCCTTAGAGGAGGGGGGAGATCAGAGACCGGATTCTGGAGAGCAGAGGTCAGCAGACTGGAGCCGCTAGTCCTCAGGGACTCCATGCCTTCTCTGGCCTGGCCCTTGACCCCACCAGCCCACAGAAGCCCAAGTGCCCCAGAACCATCAGCTCTGGTGATACAGGAAAGCATGTGACAGGAAGGGAGCAGTCCCCTCTCCAGAAGAGCCCCCTGGCCTGGACCAGCTGTGGCAGGAGTGACCTTCTGTTCCCCACCCCCTCTGCTCAGGGAAGTGCAGCAGGGCTGGGGGGTTCTGTCCCTGCACTTGGGCTGATGGAATCCCCTTTGGTTACCCTACAGGCAGTCATCTTAACATGCATCCCACCCCCATGGGGTTTGCTAGTCCTGGACCTCCACCCTCCCCCACTGAGGCAATGCTTCCTCCCTGGCCAGTTCTGTTAGCCTCCCTGGAGGCCCTTGATTTATGCTGTTAAGTCGGCAGAGCCAACCTTGGAGAAGGAAGAAAAGGAGAGTGAGAAAACAAGCCCCAGAGGCCAGAGGGGCAGAGCCAGGATCAGAGCCCTGGCAGAGAGTGTGCTGCTCAGTGGGAACAGACCACCACAGCCCTGGACTCAGGGAGCCGTGCCCTAGTCTTAGGAACACTGATGCCACCCTGCAGAAGGGGAGCCAAGTCTACACAAATGCCTCTGCTCAGGAAATGGGGTGCAGGGAAGGTGGGGGTGGCTTGGAGCCCAAGGACAGGAGGGGACATTTCCTGGCGGATGCGGGGTCAGAAGAAGGGGCGGAAATGGCCAAGACAGCTGCTGAACATCTGGAGTCACAGAGAATTAATTACCCAGAGCCTGAAGGACAGTGGGGTTGGTAGGGAGCCCTCCTTCCTGGTTCCCAGCAAAGGCTACCCTTTCTCCTGATAGGTTGAAGGACTTGTGGGCAGCTCCTCCCCAGAGGGCCTTACACCATTTCCAGGGGTGAAGAAGCAGCCAGTTGGGCTGGGTCTGTGGCTCAGTGGTGGATGCTCACCTAGCATGTGTGAGGCACTGTGCTCGAGCATCAGCACCACATAAAAATAAATAAAATAAAGGTATTGTGTCCATCTACAATTAAAATGTATATATATATATATATATATATATATATATATATTTTTTTTTTTTTTTTTTTTTTTTTAAAGCAGCAGCAGCCAGTCATCCTCCTGAGTCTGCAGCCACACCGAAAGCCTGTGGCCACCTAGTCCACACCCTGTGGAGAGGAGGAGGTGGAGGGCCAGAGCTCACCAGGGTCTGGAGAGAAGCCACGTTTCTCCTCACTCAGATGCCCATTGAAACTTTGTGCTCCCCTACCCAACCTACTCTTCTCTGTGAGTGTGGGCCAGTGTCCCTCAGAGTCCCAAGTGTCCTTATGCACTAATGGGTGGGAAGGGGACTGCTTTAGGTCAGAGTAGAGTCTGGCTAGAGTCCAGAGCCCTGAAGGCCTGTGCAATGTGACACCATCCTTGTTCCCTGGGGCTCACCACTCTCTTTCTGGGTGGAGAGTAATCTACACCTTTCCTGCAGACTCCCAAGTGTAGTCGGCCCTATCCCCACCCCACCACCAGGGGCTTGTTCAGGCCAAGGCCCTCGTCCTGGGATGATCTCTGGGGCCCCAGACACAAACTGAAGGGTCATTGTATGTCTAGAAGCTAGTCTCCCCCTGGCTTGGGAGTCCCTCAGAGGAGGGGCCTTATCTGCAACACCCAGGTTTTGGTTAAGATGAGAACTTGTTTTCCCTCACAGTGCTAGGAATTGAACCCAGGGCTTCATACATGCTAGGCAAACACTCCACTACTGAGCTATACACCCCCATCCGCAGTACTTATTATTCAAAACATAATATTCCCAGTGCAACCATTGAGATATGTATGTCCTTTCCACACTGCCCAGAGTTGTTTGCCTGGTCTGTTCCTTTCACATCTTCCCTTTTGCCTGCAAACATGTACATACACATAGGTCTTGTGGAGGGAGTTATTTTGTCATTTGCTTTACAGAATGTATCAAGCACACTCTGTAGCTTGCTTTTCTCCACAGTATATCATGAGCCTCACTGCTGGCTGGCATGTGGCTGCAAACCACTTCCCCCACCCCACCAGTGTTCATGCACTAGTGCCTCAGGTATCCCTCTGCAGGCTTTAAGACTTTTTCTCTCTGCAAAAGCAACTGCAGTACACCTGCCTCCTTCTCAGGACCCTTGCTTTGAGTTCTTTTCTTGTATGCTGGATTCTTGAACGTCTGTTGCTTCATCAAGGGTGTGCTCTTAACACAGAGAGATTGGTTGTCATCCTGCACACCCTGGAGGGGGCTTGTCTCTGCAGGCTCAATAGGAGCCTAGGGCGGCTCCAAACTCTTAGTGTTTGTCTGTCTCCTTGTGAATCAATTTGAACACAGACTGATCCTGACTTCTGAGTCACTCTGCCTGCCAGGGAACCCCTCACCTGTGTGGGACCCACCTGAGGCCCTCCTGGTTACCAGATAGAAATTATGGCCTGGTTTTTGGACAGTCAGCCTTGGCCCTGAGAGAAAAGAAGAGATTAATTTGGACCCAGTGGACCATGATCAGTCCAGAGGGTCCCAGCCAGGAGTCTTGCCTGCAGATGCTTACTCCATTAGGGGGCCAGGATGCCTGGAGTAGGCAAAGATTGCCCCCCTTTCCTGGTTCCTCCAAGTTGTGGAATTGGAAAAATTATGCTGGTGGTAGGGCTGCGTAAAATGTCACAGAAGGAAGAGTCCACATGCAGCCCTAGGAGAGCCACAGTATGACCCCACACCCTGCCCAGCATCCTTTCACCTTCCATCCACTGAGCCTGTGGTTGAGGGGCAGAATTTGGGAGCATTGCACAGCTCCTAACCCTCACAGTCTGGGACAGTCGCATGGAGCAGGAAAGCAAAGGGTGAAGCCAGGACTGGAGCTGAGCCCTGCTGTGTTGGCAGAGGCTGGTGGTCCCTGGCGGGGACCCTAGCTCCACGCCTGCCTCTGGGCAGCAGCTCCCACCTACCAGGATGGGTGAGTGGGAAGCTAGCTTCTGACTTGGCATTCCGGGCTGTGAGCTCAGGGGTGGGGCTCCTTTGTGACCCCAGGCTGCAGAGCTGATGGTCCCTGGAGAACTCGGAGCCCAACGGGGAGGGGTAGGGAGAGCCAGCCAAGAGTAGGGACCCTGCAAGGCAGCTGGTAGACCTGGGACCAGCAGGGCCTGCTCCACCACTCGAAGACTGCACCCAGGGCCCCCACCCGCCAGGCACACCAGCCAGGAGAGCAGGCGCACCTCCTGAGCTTGCTCTGAGCATATCTAGGTTATGGCCCTGGCGGCTCCTTCTAAGTCACTTGCACAGATTAAAAACGGCAACTGTCCCAGAGCTGACCCCAGGGGACCCTGAGAGCTTTATCCCCCCACCCACCCCAGGCACTTTCTGTTCTCAGTGTCTGCTGGACTCCAGGATGGCTGCTCAAGGCCTTGGCTCTCCCACCCCCCCCCTGTGGGCAGGGAAGCTGGCAGGATGTCAAGCCCACCACAGCCTGGCAGTGAGGCTGAGCAGGCCCAGACAGGCAAGCCCTTCTTCCTTGCTGCCCTTCCCTCCCTGACCCACCCCCAGGGCTTCCAGCAGTGAAACAGGAAGGGAAAAGGAAGGGGTGAAGACAGGGAGCCTGCCCTACAGGATCCGGGAGGGTGCCCCTCACCTTGACTTCTGCAGCTGAGACTGGATTCCAGGTCACCAGACAAGGCCACCAGACCTACCTGTATCACACAGACACACAGACACATCCACAGGCAGGCCCTGCTCCAGGCTCTGGGGGTCAGGAAAGTGGGCCTTCACCTTCAGCCCACCCAGGAAGATGTACAAGAGGAGGAAGAAAGCAGAGGAGAGGCCCTGCTGTGCCCCCAGCCCTGGGGAGGGCCTAACCGCAGCTCTGCCCACTCCCACTGGCTTTGAAGCTGCCCTGAGCTGGGCCAGCTGCCGGAGGTGCATGGACCCGCCCAGCCCCTCTGGCTGCGTGGGAGCCCAGAGTGACCACAGGGCCACAATCTGCCTTTGAAGTGCTGGGGCTAGGCCACAGGAAATGGGCGGTAGCCCATCCTCTCCCTGGGGTCCTCTCCCCAGAGAAAGCACCTCTGCCCACCAAACTAGGAACCCAGCCCTAGAGCTGTCCCTCTGTGCTGGAGCACTTTGGCCATCCAGGTGTGCCTAGGAATAGGTTTGGGGCAAGGAGGGGTGGTCCTCCACCCCTGGCTGAACCCCAGCCCCAATTTCCTTTTGCCCAGCTCCTGTGGGGGAAGGAATGGGCCCAGAAATTGGTCCTTTTCCCTCATCTAAAAATAGCAGGCCTTGGGCTTTGTGGAAAGCCCCCAGGGCGGGGGAGGAAGCAGGGCCTGGAGCTTGGGCCTAAGGAAGGGGAGGCGTCACAGGAAATGCCTGGGTGCCCTGGCCGCCCCAGCAAAGGCTCCTGGTCAGTGGCTAGGCCCCCTGGAAAGTCCCTGGCTGTGCACAAACCTGAGTAGGGGGCAGGGTCAGAAGAGCAGCTGGAGCCTCCTGGGTCCCTTAGGTTCCTGGGTGGGCTCCCTTTTCTGCCTGAGTGGGTCTCCTGCCATGGATACCAGAGGACAGGATGAAGGTAGTTCTTTCTCCCTTGTCATTTTCTGTGTCTGGTGCTGACTTAATCCTCCATTCTTTACCCTCTCTATTTTCCCTTTCACCATTCTCAGTAAATAAATAAATAAATAATAAAAATATATAATTAATAATAATAATAATAATCTAATCAGCAGATACTTACTGAAGGCATAATAAAGGTTTGACCCAAAAGAAGGCCTCACTAGGATCAGGAGCTGAGACCAGAAAGACAGGACTTAGTCCTGTGAACTAGACTGTGGACCGGGAGCCTGAGAGCACTAGAGCTGAGGAATGTGGTAGTTTGGGAGGATTGAGGGCAAGGCCAGTGAGCTTGAGCATCAGGAAGGAGGCTAGAATGGGGGTGGAAAGATTGGTGGAACTTCTCAGACTCCCAGGAGGACTGGGAGTTTGAAATAAAAGTCATTTCTAGCCAGGAATGTGAGCTGCTCCAAAGGCTGAGGCAGAGGATTTGAAAATTTGAGGCTAGTCTGGGAAACTTGGTAAGCTCCTGTCTCAATATTTAAAAAGGACTGGGGATGTAGCTCAGTGATAGAGCACATGCTAGGCCCTGGGCTTGATCCCCAGTATTGAAGAAAGAAAGAAAGCAGGGTGGGGGTGGAAGTGACTGTGGGGTGGGGAGGAGGAAGGATCAGTCACTTCTTCTTCTTCTTCTTTTTTTTTTTTTTTTTAGTTGTTGATAGACCTTTATTTTATTTATTTATATGTGGTGCTGAGAATCGAACCCAGTGCCTCACACACGCCAGGCAAGTGCACTACCACTGAGCCACAGCCCGGAAGGTCGGTCACTTCTAGGAAGCCACCCACTGAAGGATTCTCAGTCAGAAAATTCCAGAGAGGGCTGGGGATGTGGCTCAAGCGGTAGCGCGCTCTCCTGGCATGCGTGTGGCCCGGGTTCGATCCTCAGCACCACATACAAACAAAGATGTTGTGTCTGCCGATAACTAAAAAAAAAAAAAAAAGAAAATTCCAGAGAGGTGCAACTGTCCATCCTCAGAGTCAATCAACCTTGTATCCAAAATTTTGGGGGGAAAAAATTTTCCCCCTCTACTGAACACATACTTTCTTGTCATTCCCTAAGCAATACAGTTTCACACCTATTTACATTGTATCAGTTATTATAAGTCATCTGGAGATGAGCTAAAGTATCCAGAAGGATCACTAATGTAACTCAGTGGTAGAGCACTTGCCTACTTGGCAGGTCCCTGCCTGGGTTCAATCCTTCAATCCTCAGCACTAAAAAAAAAAAAAAAATCATGGGAGGATGCACATAGCTCTATGCAAGTGCTGTGGCGTTTCACACAGAGATGGGAGCACCCATAGGTCTTGGTGTTCACAGGGGCCCTGGAAGGAATCCCTGTGAACGCCAGCAGATAACTGAATGCTCTAGTGCAGATGCCTGGAGGAGGCTGCGGCG